TTTAAATTTATTTATTTGACAGAGAGAGAGACAGTGAGAGAGGGAACACAAGCAGGCAGATGCTTAATGACTGAGCCACCCAGGTGCCCCTCAAACGTATAAATAATCTTAAAAAAAATGATCAATGCTAAAGGAACCAAGAAAAGAATATAAGATGTCTTTAGTTTTGTTCCATTCTGCGAGAATACTCCACATTAAAGGAGGCTAATAAATGTATCAGTTCAGTTGACGGAAGAACTTTTAGTCTCCTGATAGTTTTTTCATTATTTCACCAAAGTAATCTTTAGAAGTAGTGAGAAGTTTTAGTCTATCTCCTAAATTATGTGTCCCACATGTTGAATCTATCAACATTTAGATTTTCTTCAAAAAACACTTCTGATGTCTTTGACATGCACTCAGAATAAGGACTAGATTCTTTAAGGCAGGGATATGTTAAAATTAATAAAATGATTCTTCATGAAACTTTAGAGTCATCTTTGGGAAAGGCCAACAGATTTAATTTTTAATTTTCCTTAGGAAAAATATGACTGATAAATTACCTTCTGTAATTGCAAATTCAGATTTGCCACCTGAAGAACATGTAGTACCACCATCGGAAATGAGCAAGGGAGTGAGCAGTAAATGGACCCCCTCTCCCACTCCCACTGGGATCCAGTCTTACGGAAAAGCCACACGATGTGCTTTGAGGCTGCGGCAGGTGCACTCCTCCCCCCCCCACCTTCCCCCACCAAATCCCTGGCGCCATGTGTCCTCAGGAATTTTATGATCATGATAGGTAGGGAGGTCTCAGCCCCAGGAAGAGCTGGACATGGCTTATTGCTAAGTTAGCTTTCAGTCTCAGGAAGCAAAGTTACCACCAATATTCTCTGTACTGGAAGCTGTTCTATTCAGCTGTCCCCAACCTCTCTGCTGTATCAGAAACACGGGGAGTCACAAGAAAACTAGTGGTTTTATCTCAGTATGATAAAATAATGGTAACAAAAGGGGGTGCAGAGCGGTTGGGTGTAACCAAGTTCTGAGTGAGCCTGGTACAGTCTGGGGCCACTGGGGTCACCCTTTGGCTGTGTCTTAGCAGCGCCGTTGGTTTGAGAGAACAGATGCTCCGAGACAATCTGCCCCACGTTCAGCCTGTACAGGATGGGATGAGGAGGGACTGTGAGTGAAAAATCTCACAGGTCCTCCCCAACCCGCCCCTGGAAACTATGGATAGTTTCTCCATGGATGTTCAAGGTATATAACTATAAATACCTAGAGAACATCCAAACTAGAAGAGTTTACAACCCTGCCTAAATCTTTTTGTAGAAAAAAAGTAAGGGTTAAAAGGAAGTCTATTGGGTACACCAACGTTCAAAGCAGTATTCACAGTAGCCAAAAGGGAGAAACAACCCAAATGCCCACCGACAGATAAACAGACAAATGAGATGTGGTATATACATACAATGGAATTATTCAGCCTTGAAAGATATGCTGACACACACGCTCCCCCATAGAGAACCTTGAGGATGTTATGCTCAGCAAAATAAGCCGGACACAAAAGGACAAATGTTGTATGATTCCACTTACATGACGTACCTAGAACAGTTAAATTCATGGACAGAGAGCAGAATGGTGGTCGCCAGGGGCTAAGGAAGGCGGGGATCGGGAGTTACTGTTTAATGGGTGCAGAGTTTCAGTTTTGCAAGATGAACAAGTTCTGGACATGGACAGTGGTGATGGTTACAGAACAAGGGGAATGTATTTACTGTGCTCAACTGGTACATGAAAAATGGTTAAAATGGCCACTTGTATGTTATGTCTATTCTACCACAATAAAAATAAGGGGAAAAAGTCTATTGGGGTTTAAATAATAGAACTAATGCTTTGCTTTTCACATCTGCTAGGGAACTCCCACTGGTATCCAGGACATTAAAAAGTCACAAGAGAGGAATCTGGTCGCTGTGCATTTTCACCTTAGGATGGCACTTCTTGAAAGGCAGACTGTGTTAGAAACTCTTTCAGAATCCTGAGAGCGGACAGTGGTGAAGCGGCCTCGCCAACATTTACCGTGGGGAGCGACACCACCTAGGAGTCGTAGGGAGGGAGATAAAACGAAGGAGATGCCGTTCAACCTTCTAAATGGTTGTCTTCCAAACCTACAGAGACCTGGGGAGAGGCAGAGCCCCAGGCCTCAGGGATGGTCCCACGTGGGCAAAGGGCTGGAGAGGAGGCGGTAGGGGAGGGGCAGGAAGCAGAGTCTTTCAACTGTTTTAATTTTAGAAAAGGTGTCTTTTTTAAAAATTGGGAAATGAGTTCACAGTTACTATCTGGCTTATTACTTATATATCAACTGCATTCTTTTGTCTCAAAAATCTGTAAATTTATTCTAGTTGCCTATTCTAATATTTTGAGCTTTTCATGTTTAATTGTCAAATTATATTATTATAGTTTGGTGTTAAATTTTCCCTCCCACTTCCATAAGAAAAATATTAAGTCATTAACTATTCACTTGTTTCATGTAATGTTGGGAGAAAAAAAATTCTAAGGAATATATCATCTAGTTGTCTGAGATAAACCCAATGTTTTAAAGATTAAAAAAGCATGTCATCAAAATCTGTTGATTCTTAATCTGGTAACTCACCTGGCCTTTAAAAAAAACAAACAAACCAACTCTTCTAAAAAACAAAAGCATACAAAAGTGGAGATATGGCTCTAGTGACTTTTATGTCCCCTAACTTAGCTTAAATAATTATTGACTTTTGGCTAATCTGACAACATGCTTCCTGCCTCCTCTCAGAGTATTTTGAAGTAAATCCCAGACATTATACTGTTTCATCCATAAATATTTCAGCATGTGTTTCTAAAAGAAAAGGATTGTTTTTTAAAACATACCTGTGATGCCATTATCATGCCTAATATTTTAACAATTTGTTAACAGAATTGAATGTGCCTCCTGGTTTGTTTGTTTGTTTATTTATTTAAGAGGGAGAGAGAGTGCATGCGGGGAGGGGGTTTGGGGAGGGGCAAAGGGAGATGGAGAGAGAGAATTCCAAGCAGACTCCGGCTGAGGGTGGAGCCCAACACGAGGCTCCATCTCACGACCCTGAGATCATGACCTGAGCCGAAATCAAGAGTCGGATGTTCAACCGACTGAGCCACTCAGGCGCCCGCCCCCCACCCCCGGTTATTTTTCATGAAGGTTTTGATAAACTTTGCCTCATCGGTCCAATGAGTACAGGGAAGCAGATGAGCACAAGGCAGCTGGCCTTGGCTTTGAAGTGAGTTAGACTCCAGTGAGTTAGACTCCAGTGTGAACCCAGTTCTGCCATAAATAGCTATGTGACCCCCAACAAAGTTACTGCAACATCTGGAAAAATGGGAAAGTAATTCCACCTACTTTAAAGATTGTTACATAATTAAATGAGAAAAAATATATATACATATATATACAAGTGCTCATAGACGGTCAAGAAATGGCAGCTATTATATTAACAGCAAAGTCATCTATGTTCCTAAATAAAAACTGCTGGAAACCTCTGTTAATCATTACTAAAAAAATTTTGGAACCACTCAGATGGTGACAGCTACCGTGGGAATCACCTGTCTCAGAGCAGGGCAAACTTTGCAAAGGACCAGGCAGGGAGTGTCCCAGGCTTTGAGGCCAGCTGGTCTGTAGGGACGCTGAGAAACTCTGCCATTGTAGGGCCGAAGTGGCCAGACAAAATGAAAATAAATGGGTGTGCCTCTTTCAATAAAACTTTATCTATGGACACTGGAATCTGAATTTCATGTCACTTTTTATATTCACAAAAGGTTATTATCGTTTTTTATTTCCCAACCATTTAAAAGTGTAAAAAGCAGAGAGCTGAGGACGAGTCAAGTGCAGGCAGCCGGAACACTGTTACGTGTGGCGTCCCCGTGCCGGGCAGCCAGGGCCCGATGCCCGGAGGCCCCCATCCTGCCCATCCATCGCCTGCCAATCCCGCCTGTCCTCCAGGCTTCTTTCAACTCTCCCAGTGGCTCCCCAGGGGAATCCAGCTCCCCTGACCCAGGCAGGGCCCCCTCCTCTGGTGCCACAATGAGGGTATCCAGGATGCCAACCCCGTGGTCCTCACGCAGCACCTACTCCGGACATGCTCCCTGTGAGTCCCTCGGCACATGGCCTCGTAGGACCAGGAATGGTGATGGACAAGAAAACGGGGAAGAAAATGAAGAAAGCTCATAAAAATATGCACCAGCACCACAAGCACGACAAGCATTCCTCCTCCTCTTCTTCCAGCACGGACTCTGACCGGATACAGAGCCTGGACCCTTCCCTCAAGCCTCTCCAGGTCCGCTCTCCCATCAAGCTTCAGGTGCCTTCTCGTGCTGGGGAAAATTAGTCCTCGCGTCCCTCCTCCCTCCCCCACCAGTCTGAGCCTTCCGCTGGCTGCGTTCAGCCAAATGAGAAATGAATTACCATGGGCCAGCAAAGACCGTCTTTTCACTATCGGGATAGAAACTTTCGGCTGATGAGTTTAGCAGGAGAACGATTTTTTGAGGATAGTGAGACCTTTGAGCTAAATGCTGAAGACGAGTTTAAGATCTATAAAATGTGATTTTTAAACAAAAATTCTTTTGAATACTTGTGGTTGCGAGGTGTTGTGGAAGTTTAATTATGGAAAAAAAGAAACTGCACCATTTTTGCAGTGGTAAAAAAAATATGTAAAAATCACTGTTAAATTTTGCCGCAGTGACCGTTAAATTAGATAGTTTAGATAAATTAGATAGCTCAATGCGTACTTGGAAAAAACAACTCATTCTTAGCTTGCGGGCCACATGAGAAGGGATAGCAGGCTGGATTTGGCTCCTGGGTCCCTTCATTTAGTAACCCTGACATTTCCATTTCACCAGCCCCAGCGCACAAAATTCTGAATGAGGGCTCTGCTCTTCATTATCAATAAGAGATAAATTCACGGGAGAAACCAAAGTACAAGTATTAGTATATGACACTAATACGAAAGGCCTGGCAGCCTGGACCACACCTGAGCTTTGAGAAACTCTGTGGAAAAGCCTCAAGCAGGCCAAGGTCCACGTGCGCTCCTGCTTAAAAGGCTCCACTCCAACATTCCAGAGGAAATCATCCCACTCACCTTCCCTCTTGTCCCCTTCCCCCAAACAGAAACCATTAACTGTGAGATACAAGGAGCGTTCTACAATCCATACACTTCTGACTTCTCCAGGTAACAGAAACTGAGTGTAGAACTTTTGCTGGAGCTTGTAGGCATGACAGGTACATAAGCTGAATTCATCACATCCAGTGTCTACGATAAAGCAATTGGGAAGGTCCGACTTGACTTGGGGATGACTGGAATCCATACACTGAGCAGAGTCAGACAGGGATTCTGCAGCATCTCGGTCAATGCACCTGCTGTGCCGCCCCAAGCCATTCCTCCACGCTCCCCCCCACCCCAACACACACACTCAATGAGCCATTTCAACTCCAGCAACAAGGACTTTCTTTGTACGTATTAATACCAATGACAAAACCAAGAATTTCATAATCCAGGTCCATATCCACAGCTATTCATTCATTTTAGACTTTTTCTATTTTTCTCCCAGAGAGGTTTTAATAAAGAATAAACAAAAGTGTTCTTCCCCTGCAATTTTACTGCAAATAAAATGACAAAAATCAATCACAGCTGCTTTAGGGAACAGCAGAAACTCTTGGTTTCACCACCCTAGAAGGCTCCCGTGTGAATGCTAATGTATGAACTTTGTATTATTAAAAACGCAACGGAGTAAACACGTAGCTGAAGAGAGACCTTTTGGCCCACATTCTCTCAAAATGATAAAATTATATAAACCGATAATTTCCCATCTCAAAATTAAGAAGGCAAACATCATGCTTACTTTCTCTAAATGCTTTACAGTAGCCAAGGAAAGATAACAGAAAGAACAGGGCCCCAAGGAGGTCTGCGCGGCCAACAACACCAGCAACCTTGAAAGAAGAAGAAAAAAAGATTTACATAAAAAAAAAGTTTAAAAAATCCTAAACTTAGGAAACATAAAAAATTTCTTGGAAATGAAAGGCAAAAACCTTACTAGATTCTGTCATCTATTAAAATGACTGTGCAACAGTCCTGTGGTCTTATCTTACGATAGGGTTTTCTTTTCCCTCTTTGGACTAAGACTTGAGCTAGTTGCTTCCGAGAGATCGGGATGGGCAGGATCGTACCGCTGGCTGTTCTGGGAGCAGGAGCCCCATCACAGCACCCTGCACCCTACAGCCCAGACACCCATGCTGCTGATAGCCCTCAAGTGGATTTTCAACAGAAAATGTTATCAGCTCAAAGGGTAGAATATTTAGTAAACAAAATCTGATTGGAGACATGGAGGAGAGGTGGGAAGTAAGTGTGAAACGTCATCAGGCAAACAGAAAAAGGTAGAGGAACAATCATGCAAAGGTACCTCTGCCACTGCTCCTCCCTTCAAGACCAAAACCGGTTCGGGGGGGTTAACCTGGAAAGCAGAATGCTTCGAACGTGATTGAGAAGGAAGACGAAGACAGAAAAAAATGTCTACCATTTCTTTCCGCCATGACTGCCCTCTCCTTCTTTACCTTAGTGATAACAAAGCAATGTAAAATTTGTGTCTCACATCACACCCAATAACCGTTCTCCACACATCTCCTGGCAGAGAAAGACAGAAAACTCCACTCGGGAGTGTGGGTCTGGCTTACGTAGCACATTTGGCTAACCAGCACTTGGAGGTGACACATACCAAAGCTTTACTGGGATTCTCTAGGTATTACTCCAATAGCTGGTAAGTTTATCTTTTCTTAAAGGACGGGGACTATGAAATGTGGGACAGAATAAAGACTAAGCTATAAATGGAGGTAAGAGAATAAACAATTGACGTGAAATTACTATGTTTACATTTGATTCCCAACTATGTGGACAAGCAATGGCTAAAAAGAATGCCTTTGAGCAATAATTTCCCACTACCCTGGCTAGATATAAAATGCTGGAGGTGATTATCCATTTTGATCGTTAATTTCTGACAGCAGTGCGCATGGCAATGCAAGGTGTCACACGATTGTTAAGACTGAAGGAGCTGATGAATCCAACCCACAGGGAAAACCCTCCCAAGAAGGAAGCTAAGGACAAACAAAGGTTCAACGGATCTGGAACAAGCATGCCAATATGCCAGAGGGTTAAGCAGTACAATGACTTCATGAGTGCAGGGACCACGTAATGAGAGTTCTTGAATACTCCAGCCTACACCTCACTCAGTCAGGGACCCGGGAAAATCGGGGCTGCAGGTAAACTGAACAGTGCCTGGCACGCAGCAGGTGCGCCTGGCACGCAGTAGGTGTGGGCTCACTGTTAGTTCCCCACAAGAATCCTGACGCGTGCTTCTGTAAGCAGCGGGGGCAGAAAGGAATGGACAAAGGCACCGGAGCTCAGGGCGAGAGGCAGGTGTTGTGGTGAGGGCACTGTGGTGAGTGACAAAGCCAGGACACCGAGAGGGAAGGGAGGGGCATCTTCCATCTGCACCTATCTACAGCGCCCGAGGATGGCCCTGAATCCCAAAGCCTCACAGAACATAAAGTAATCCAAACCCATGCAGAGAAGCTTATCCAAAGGGGTCCCTAAAGCAAGGGGCTCAGGAGAAGCAGGGGGTGGGGTGGTGACGGGTCAGAAAACAAGGTTTACTGAAATGAGTGAGGGGAGGGAAGTGTTTGGATAAATACCAGGGATGAGGCCAAAACAACCAGCCTTAACCACCTGTTATCTAGATAGCTAAGGTACATTTTAAGACCTGCACTAAAATGAAGGTTAAACATGATAAACTTATTTTTTTTTAATGTATATTTATTTATTTTAGAGAGAGAGAGAGCATGCATGTGCATGCATGTGTGTGTGTGTGTGGGGGGGTGAAGATCAGAGGGAGAGGGAGAGAGAATCTCAAGCAGACTCCACACTGAGCACAGAGCCCAACGTGGGGCTTGATCTCACGGCCCTGAGATCACGACCTGAGCCGAAACCAGGTGTCAAACACTCAACTGACTTGAGTCACCCAGGTGCCCCCATGATAAGCTTATTTTTAAACAAACATTCTTTGGCTAGTTGGTGAAAATACTCCCAAGTGCTTAAGCAATTGTACATGACATAAAGAAAAACAGATTTTAAAAAGTATGGCAGGCGTTTTAAAGTAAAAAGAGATTTAGTCCTTACAAAGAATTTTTGACATCGTGATTAAAGACAGACTTCACAGAGAAAACATTTTTAAGGGCTATCCAAGGAAGCACTGAGTCCACTTGTTTGGGGAATGGGCAAGACTATAGAGAGATTTTATTTTTCTTTTCTGATATTTGCATAGTATGTATTTCTAGGCAAAGGTCTTTATAACAGCCTTTGTAGGCTATTCTCTTTTTCTTACAAATGAAAGGGAGCAGACTCTGCCATCCTCAGATATGCCGCTTTGGCATATTGATTATTTTGAATTAAAGGTACTTGAGAAATAGCCAGTTTCTCAGAAGGACGATCTGACCGTCCTTTGTCCCCCTGAAAGCAGGAAATAAATCTCTCCTATGAAAAGCACCCTCCCTCTATTAGCAGGCTAGAAGGCATCCTCATCCCCAGAAGTAGGGAGTTTAGGGCCCGAGAAGGATGCATAAACAACCCTTGTTACTTCATTAATTCACTACCCCAAGCGCAAACCCCTTTGTCCTGCCATTTCTTCACAAAGTTAGAAATCCTTCCTGCTTCGGACACTTCCTTGAATCTCATATTTTTATGGGGCTCCGGTACATTTTATGGGGCTCCAGAAATTAAATTTTTCTCCCATTAACCTATCTTATGTCGATTTAATTATGAGGCCAGCCAAAGAACCTAGGAGGGAAGAAGGGAAAATGTTTCCACCCCTACAGAGGTAACCGTTAACACTCATATTGGGGTTTTCTAGAGAAAATTCCCTCAAATCTATAGAGCAGGTAGTGTTGTTTCCCCACTAGGAACAAATTGCATAGGGGTTGTTAAAAAGGAATTAGAGGAAGGGAAAGGGGGAATCTTCCCTACCTAATACCTTCAGTATTAAACTCTGGGTTTGTGCACAGACAGAACTCCTAAGGAGGCCTGAGTTTCCCTCTGATACTAAATCCAGGCAACTTGAAATCCTTACCAATACTCTGAGGAAAAGGAAAACCTATGGTGGCACTGGTGTCCTTGGGGTCTCCATCCTGGTGGCCACAGACAAGGGGCTAGGCAACCCTCTCCTTTAGCTCTCCTCCCTCCCCTAATGCCTGGCCTTATATGCCTACAAATATCCCAGAGTGGTTTGGGTGGTATACTTGAAAATGAGAGACATCCATATCAGTTGAAAAGTAAAAACACTAATTATAATTATTTCATTACCCACTGGGGACCGGGAGGGGGGAAGACTGAACAATGTACCATGGTTTGCCTGGGACTGTCCCAGTCTTAAAGTGGAAAGTCCCATGTCCCAGAACCTCCTTAATAATGGGCAAAGTGGGTGGCTGGTCACCCTAGAAGACTGGGAAATTCAGGTTCTTATTTGCAATGGACAAAAACATTCTCAATGCTAACATCAAGAAGGTGTAAAGACGCAAAACACATGAATTTAATACAAAGAAATTTATATTACTAAAACCTGCAGGGGCCCACACTGCCACTGCTTTCCCTTAATAAATGTAAAGAGAAGCACAATAACCACCCAACCCCCAGTCCTCATTCTAGATCACTGTTCAGTTTGGGGGCACTGTGCCAAGGGCCGTCATGCAGGGCCCTGGTCCAGAGTCCACAGCCCAGGGCTACTTCCCCAGCACTGGGCTGGGGGCTTCAAAGGGCTCTCCTTCCACCTAGCTCCTTGGGTCCTGCTTTCTGTTTATTTTTAAAGCTGGGTTAAATGTAGAATGGGGGATAACAGGGCGGGTGTAGATAGGAGGAAACTAAATACTCCCTATTTGCCAGAACAATGAAGGATGAACATACAAATTATTTAAGAATGCTAATTTGGGGGTACTTGGGTGGCTTGATCAGCTAAGCATTTGCCTTCGGCTCAGGTTATGATCTCAGGGTCCTAGGATTGAGCCCCGTGTTGGGCTCCCCACTCAGTGGAGAGTCTGCTTCTCCCTCTTCACCTGCTCATGCACTCTCTCTCTCTCAAATGAATAAATAAAATCTCAAAAAAAATATGCTAATTTTAATGACTCATAATTTTTTCTTGCAATCTGAGTTTTAATGACTTTGATGGAATGGAGGGGTGGGGGAGATGAAGAGATTTTTCTCAAATATTCCCTTCTCTCCTACAGCCAGATCTTCCTTGGCTTCTTTTTAAATACCTCGAGTGTAGAATTTTCAGGTTAACATTTTCCCAGATTGCATTTACTGGGGCATGGGTGTATGCCTGTGTGTGTGCATCCACTTGTACTTGCTGGCATTTCAAACTTTTCTGTAAACTAACTTCTCAACGTTTAAAATCAGAATTTTAGAAGAATTCCTTTGATTACTAATTCAAATATTTCATTTTGCTTTAAGATCCCACTAAATTAGATGAGGACCCAAACTGTAAATCTGTACTTTTGCCAGAAATTCCCTATTTCTGATCAACGCGTACACTATTTCTGGGTCCCAACAAATACTTAAGCCATAGGAGGGCTCAGATGGAAGCAAATTCTAATTTGCTCACAGTTACATATAAATAGTCTATGACAAATCTCTTACAACAGTTTCCAGATTGTCAGTCCTCCGAATTTGCTAAAGTAAAACATTATGAGAATTTTTTTTTTAAAAGGCTTTAAAGTGATAAAATACTAGGAGAAGGTTGTGGTAACAGCTCTACAATCCCCTTCATACCAAAGAACGGAGTTTAACAAAAGCAGACGCTAAAGGGAGAAATTCTGTTCAATATTTTGAAACTCACTTCAAGATGCTCAATACATTTGGTTAAACGTGGGGATTTAAATACACATGAAATGCAGAAATCCGTTGTGGAGAAGTAATAAGGACCATGTAGTATTTTATACTAGGTACTTCATGCTCACAGAATGAATGGTTAAAATCAAATCTTCCACCTCAGCAAACATGCGACTTTCATTTTCAAAGGGTTCCATGGTAGTGGGGATTGGGTGGTTCTTGAAATCCCCACACACCTAGTTAAATCCCAACACAGTGTGTACCAAATATATTCAGCAGCAGCTCAAGAGAATAAAGGCGTGGCCCACAGGACAGTCAGGTTAGGACCCTCTGCCCCATCACCTGGGCCACCTGGGACGAGTCTTCCAAGGGGAGGAGAAGAATGCAGGTGGCGAAGAAAAGGAAGGTGGGAGAGTTCCTGACCAATCCCCAGCACGGAGTGGGAACCACACCTTCCCAGGGCAAGTCAAAGTGTGCCGGCCTCTCCTCAGTGTGAGATTTTAAGTTCTACCCTTAGACAGCTCTCAGCGAACGTAGGAAAATTACGTCCGACCCTTTGCAGAAGACAAGTTCCTCGCTTCTGGCCTTTAGGCCCCCAAACCAGGCAATATTCACCATTTGCCCTTTCCAGTGTGGTCATATAAGGGAAACAGAAAGTATCACCAGAGATCATATCATACGGTGACGACAAAGTCTTCACCCCCCCCTCCCCCCGGGGACTCGGCATTTTTCATGAGAGACCTGTTGGATCCGCAAATAATTGTTTCAAGTGTCTGGCAGGGTGTGGCACCCGTATCCTTTCTACTGTGATAAGACTATTCGAGGGAAGCCTGTTTTAGGGAACGAGCCAACATATGACAGGCTCCTTGTCCTCACGCAAGGACAGACGCCACGGACGGACACTACTTACACACTCCGTGTGCACCGGATGCGTGGCGAATAGCAGAGCGGCCAGCAGGGACGATCTGGGGGCCAGGTTCAACCTCCGGCCTCTACTCGTGTACTGCAGGCCGCCCAACAGCACGGAGAAGACATCCACCATGAGGACAGAGATGCCACCGTGCAGGAGGATGTTGATCACGTGGAAACTCATGGGGTGGAAGCCTCCACACAAATAGTAGTTAATCCTGTAAGTGAAGGGGGTTCATACCAGATGCGCAGAAGCGTGCAATAGGAAATGCAAACCATCTGAAGGAAAACGCTGGTGAGTAATAGTATTCCGGGCAGAAGAGGAGGTTTGCCGAAAGTGACAGCAAGATAAATAATGCCTATCAAGCGAGGAAGGTTGAAGAAAGGGTGAGAGCATATAATTAACTGCAGGGGGAAAAATGGAGGAGAAGAGCATCTCAGAGGAGTGGGAGATAATGTGGAGAGGAAAAGCAAAAGGAAAACTGGACAGATTTTTAAGCGCTAAAAAGGCCAAGGTAATATAATATAGCACACATTCCTCCTGGCTCCCCATAGGGACCTGGGTTTAAGATAGTCCCGTAACTTGCTTATCCAAAAAACAAAAGCACTCCTTGATAGTTCGTCCATCAGCCTTCCATCCCAACAAAACACATTCTCATGGTCAGGGATTCTTATTCCTGACTGCCGCTCACTCCCCAGCCGTTCTAATTCATCATTTCTCTGCTTCGGAGAGATCTGTACACATGTGTTTAGTGCACCTGAGAAACAGCTACGAGTGGGAATTTTGGTGAGGTGAATAAATCTACCTAACGCAAATGGGGGGGAGGGGGAGGCTGAGAGTGTTTTTAGCTTAATTTTGTTTCTGCACATTGACTTGGTAACAGTAGGAAGATTTTTACCTTATTATTTTCATAGCGGAAAAAAACCCACAATTTCATTAGATGCCGCAAGCTGCCTTGACTCACACTTTTTCTCCAGTGTTAACCAGCAAAGGCCCAACCTCCAAGAAATGTGCAAAAGATGGAACGTTTCACTAATGTGCACGTCATCCTGCACAGGGACCAATGCTCATCTTCTCTGTATCCTTCCACTTTCAGGATCCGAACCGGCAAAGCCAGTCCTGGAGTCAGGTTTCCTCATGCACATTCTCTCCATCTTCCTGTGACCTATTCCTAACAGCTAGGATTAGCACGTGCTTCTTGGAGACCCATATGAGTGAGGCCATATTTTCCCCCAGGATCCCCTGGCTCGACTTTCCCCCCCCCCCACCGGGAGGCTTATCGCATTGAACTTGGTACAGCATCCACACAGCTTGCGCCATCACCTACCTGAAAGTGAGGACGGTCAGAGGGCGGTAGGACTTGTGGCTGGTATTGCTGCTCAGCCTACTGCCCCAGAAGTCATGATGCCACAGGTCCCCGAGGGGCGTCTCTGCTCGGAGGTCCTGCAGGAACGCAGCAGAAGGCATTCTGAACAAAGGAGTCCCTCCCCCTCCCCCACCCGCATCTCAGCGCCCACGGCAAGCTCTTCCTTGGAGCTGCGCATTCCCCTCTGCTCCGTCCCTCCCACCAGTCCTGGCCCAAACCATCATCATCTCTCCCCCTAGGATACCGCCAGGCCTCCCAGCGGATCCACCGCACCCTGTGACATGTTCTCCAGGCTGATCTCTCCAAAACGCAAATTGGGTCACCCGTCCTACCCTGCTTAAAACACTACGATAGCTGCCCTCCTCCCCCAGGACAGAACCTACGTCCTAATGTGGGTGCCCCAGCCCAGGGTGCTCGGGCTCCTGCAGAGCTCTGCCTGTTCATCTCCCTCAGACTCTGACCTTTGTCCTAACCCCACTCAGCACCTGCTGCCACCCATCCCAAAGGCTTGGCACGCATAGGTGTCCACCGGTTACCCCTCAGCTCTTCACAGCCCAGTTCCTCCCGCCACTCACATCTCAGCCAGCCAGCTGTGACCTTCCTTAGCTGATGTAATTCCCTTCCCGTGGGTCTCCCGGCATCTCGCACCTGTCCTTACAGTGCCCGGCACACCGGCGGTTTATAATCTCTAACTCCCACCTGTCTGCCCCACGGGACTGAGGGTCAAGGAGGCCCGGGCCACATCGTGTAGGTGGGGAGTATACAGAAGGTACTTAATCTACGTTGAATGAACTAATGGATCACATAGCTCTTTCATATTCATAAGATAATTTCCCTAAAATATCCCAGTTAAAACATGAGTGAACAAACATATATTGTTTATTTTTGATCATGAGCTAAACAGAAATGTTAAAGAAAAGACAACTTCCACATAATTTTTCTTTTTTAAATTTATATTTATTTTTTTTGTTAAGATTTTATTTCTTTGAGAGACAGAGAGCAAGCACACAAGCAGGAGGAGAAGCAGAGGGAGAGAGAGAAGCAGGCTCTCCACTGAGCAGGGAGCCTGATGTGGGGCTCAATCCCAGGACCCTGAGATCATGACCCGAGTTGAAGGCAGATGCCCAGCTAACTGAACCACCCATGTGCCCCCCCCATGGAATTTTTAAAGATAAAAATCATTAAATATTAAAAAATGATACCTATCTTACTATTAAGGTAATTTAATTTGGTCCTATACTACAGATGCTTAAAAATGCATCTTTTTAAAAAACATTTAAATGTAAAATTAGGGGTGCCTGGGTGGCTAGTCAGCTAAGTGTCTGACTCTTGATTTTGGCTCAGGTCATGATCGCCAGGTCGTGAGATTGAGCCCCGTGTTGGGCTCTGTGCTCAGAGTGGAGTCTGCTTGTTCCTCTCCCTCTGCTCCTCCCCCCACTCATGCTCTCTCCCTTTCTCTCAAATAAATAAATAATAAATAAATAAAATCTTAAAAAAATGTAAGACTAAATTGCTTAAACTGTGTCTAACAAGAAGAGGCAGACAAGGCACCACAGAGTAAGCAACGAAAGTGAATGTTGATTTTCTCTTTAAAGCGTAACGAAACAGGGACATTTTAGAGACTAGCAATTATGACATGCTATGCACCACACAGTGTATCAGTCAAGACTCTTCGTAGCAGGAACCAGAATCAACTCTGATATAAACAAAAAAGGACTGCTTTAAAGACGATGGCAAGGCTCACGGACTCCCAGGTGGGCTCCCAGTTTGGGGCGCCATAGCCAGAAGCACACCCACAGATCACACCACTAGACACCTTGCTGAGGCTGCCCAGCTGCCTCCAGATCCTGTCCTCTTTGTGTGACTAGCTCCTGCCTCCAACAGGTGGAGTCTGCATCCAACCTGGACAGTCTCGGCAGCTTCTAACAACCAAGATGGGTAAAGCCTCAAGCAGAAATATATCCAATATGGCCAGCCCAGAAGAGCAACCAGGGTCTACAGCACCTGGGGGGAGCTCAGGAAGTATCACGACTTCAGTCCTTACTGACTCAAAGGGCAAGGCTTGAGGATGGGTGATAGAGGCAAAGCTGGTCACCTGATACCCACTTTGAGGGTGAATTTCCCTTCCATTGTGTATCAGCTTCAGAGTCCTTAAGCATACTGACCCCTTTTCTAAGAGTCAGTTCGAGATTTCATGAAGGTCTCGGAAACCACCCACTAATTTGGTTGGCTCAGTTACAAAACTGGAAGTCCCTTTTCTTTTGCATTGTCCCAGAAGTACCTCTTCACTTGTGAAGGAGCTGGGCGGATGCTCTTTCCCTCCATTTGAGCAGAAAATGAACACCAACGAAGCTCTAAATATTTGATTAGGTGTAGCCTACACACAGCAGGGTGCACTACAGGAAGAAAGGTCAATTTTTCCTCATAATAATTTATGGAAAAGACATGTGCCTGAAATTCCTGCTAACTCCACTGTCTCAAAGAAAATCATCATCTCAATGAAAAAAGGCAACTCAACACTACAAGGAAGCATCTGGAAAACAGTCTTCAACACCAATAAAACCCAGGAACAGCCTGTTTCACATTACTGTGGGCACCGTGCCAAGGAACAGAGCAGAGCCTTTCATTAGACAGGAAAGGAAAAAAGGAGGGCTAGCAAGTTAACAAAGGGGCACAGTGTGATGCTCTAGAAAACACTGCCAAGACAATGTGCAGCAGAGCCACAAAATGGCTTCATCTGCCTTACCGCACACAGAAGGAAGCATTCTAACCGCATACCAGGGCATCCCAAGTACAACAGAGCTCGTGCCTTCCCCTGCCTTGTTCATCAGAGCTCTTCAACATACGTTCTAAGTTAACACCGTCTCTCCTCCACTTTGTCAAAGTAGAAGATCCAAGAAGCTCTCAAAGAAATGAAGAATGGGCTTTAAAATTAAGTCACATTCTCATATTTTTGTTCGAAAAGCAACTCTGGAGCGATGAAACCACCAATGGGACGCACTTGCTGGGAGCTACAAACTTAACAACTCTTGTTTTTAAGCATGATTCAAAAAAGAAACGAACGCTGCGTAACTTCGGGGTGAACCTGAGGAAAATGGCAAGGGAAGAACCTGGATTCAAAACAAACATCAAGGATGCTGTAGTCTGTGTCCTCAAAATAGAGAAAATCAAGTACAGATAATACGTTACAAACTCAATACCTGCACAAGTCACCCCCACTCCCACCCCGCCCTCGCCCCACAGAACACACGTGAATTTTTCTCAACATTTTCAATATGAAAATGACTTTTTTTTTTCTCATTTAGGAGAATCCATGACTTGATGGATTTTTTTTAAGAGCATTTTTAAGAGCAATTTTAAGAGCATTCAACCACAGTGTTGCAAGGAGTTGCTAGAGTTGCATCTACCGCAGAGAAAGAGATTCGTGTATTCCTTCAGGTTCTCTTCATTGGTTAAGGCACATGCATAAAGTGTCTGCTGAGTAACTGGGTTGTCACAAAGACTCTAATCTGTGCCATCTCCCAGTTCTTTCTCCTCTGGGCTCTCCCTACATCCAAGTTTCTTGTTCCGACTTCCTTTTAGCTCACTTGAATCTTTTTATTCCCTTCCCCCACACCTATTTCTTCTTCCTTATCTCTAGCTAGTGAAAGACAGTGTCATTTTTCCTGCATCGATATAGCACCCACTGGTGAGCAAAACTGGCTGGGATTTTGCAAACTCAGCAAATTTGAGTCTCCAAACAAGAAATGAGCAGGAACTGCAGCTTCCACGGACAGCACACTCCTCACCCTCCAGCAGCTGCCAGCAGACTGTCCTGATGCTATCAGCAAAGGACAAAGAAGATGCCAACTCGCTGGCTGCCTACTGCTGAGGACGCACCTCTTGGCAGGTGATCAGACTCATCCATCACGGTAGCAAATGCATATTGGGGTGGGGGGAGGGGCGGGGAGAACAGCTGTGGCCTAGAATTCTGGAAATTTGTCATAAAACCTGAAAGACTTAGTCTGCAATACCTTGCAATACCCTTCCTTGCCTTGTAATCTGAGAGAAACGGTCTCTCTGATACACGTGTAGACTGGGTATGTGGGAGAGTACGTGGGGCCTCGGACAGGGGACGTGGGGAGAGTACAGCCTGCGGTCAGGCAGGGGCTGGAGACCCTGCTTCCAGCAATAAAAGGGACCCTAAGTCGAGGAGATGCGACCTAAGAAGTGGGAAATCTAAACACAACAGTGCTTAACCAAAGTTTAACACAGAATTATTCAATGCAAACTTCGATTATTAATGAGAAACAGGCAAATGGTTAACCTAAGTTTACCGAAAAGGAGTTACAATACAGTACCTTATTGTTAATAATAGCTTCAGAGTCATCAAAGACAAAATCTCCATCGTAGCTACGCGCGAAACACACGAGGGAAACAAATCCCACCACTAACTTAGCCCAGAAAGGGGGAAGAACAGAAGACGGAATGATGCGATCCAAATCGGCGTCCAGCTCGGCCATTTTGCAAACTGCCGGCTGCCAGTCTCTCGCTCCAGCATTATGCTGGTTAGAAATCTACAAGAAAAATGACAAGACACAAGTATTCATCAACACGCTGTTAGGAATGTTTTTGCAGTGGGCATGTGTACCTTAAGTGAGTAAGAACTAGACAGCAATCTATGCTGTGAGTTTACAGGCTGTGATCATTACAAACTTTTAAGTTGTGGTTTTCTGTGGGCAGTAGAGTCACCTGGGACACATGTAAATTTGCCCGGGCCCATCTGCCACTACCAAACTGGAAGCCCTTGGGTTTCTGATACTGGATTATCTTGAGAAACACTGATTTCAGGGAATCCTGTATATATCAACCCCATAAGGTAAGTTTTTATAGTCCTTTACACCAAAGTTTAAAAAAAAAAAGTTAGCATGTTGCTTCATCCAATCAAGAGAAATCAATAAATACTCCTTGTTGGGTCTTA